ACGATTTGTTGCCGACACGACTGCACCGCCTGACGAGGCTGCAGGTCCGTTACGGCACAAGGATCACGATTCCGGGGATGTTGTTGCAACAGTCCAATCTGAGCACGGCGGCAGACGACAGGTGGGCGAAGGAGTTCCACTTCGAGCGCAGGAAGGGCGATGGGGCAGTGATAGAGGCCCTCCCTCCATAAGCTCGCACCGCTCTCTCCGAGACCGGTCTTCGCTGCGATGAAGTGGCCCGCGAGAGAGCAAGAGTCAGATTCGGACACGTCGGGTGACGGAGCGCGGTTCAACAAGTGTGGTAGCTGTGGCATGAGGAGCCACCGCAAGAAAGACTGCCCCCGCGGCAAGGACAGGCGCGCTAATTGTGGCCGAAAAGGTCACCGGGCGAGGACGTGCCCGAGGCACTATCTCACAGATGAGGACTCAGGACTGAAGGCGTTCGTGGAGGTAGGAGAAGGCAAAGCAGTGCTGAATGTCCGTGGAGCTAGAACCAGGACCGACTACCTGAAGGCGGTGCAAAAGTTCGTAAACAAGGAGCTGAGCGTCGACAAGAAAAAGAAGGGCCAGCCGGCACCGGGAGAGGACGTCGGCATGCCAGTGGCCGCGGTCGAGAAGGTAGTGCAGAGTGAGTTACAGGGGGGCGCGAAATGTCGGCACGAGCCGACAGAGGACATGACGCAGGAGCCACGAGTCGCGGGAACCGTGACTGGAGGGTCGGGTAACGGCCGAAATTGTCTGTAAGGGCCTTCGTGAAGGGGACCGAGATTGAGTTCCAGTAGGATACCGGCGCAGAGGTAAGCCTGCTGAGGATAGAGGATTGCAGTCGCGCTGGCGTAAGAATGTCGCAGCGCCGACAGCAAGTAAGCACAGTGCTGGTTTCAGGATCACTACCCGTGACGGAGCCAGTAGCGGTAACAGTGCACGGCGAGACGGACAATGTGGAGTTCGCGGTGCATGACCACCCATCGGTCCCGAATCTCCTGGGGAGGGTAGAATTGGAACGGTTTGGTTTGGTTGAGAGAAGGTCCGGGAAGGCGTTGGCCCTGGCGGCGCAGAGAGGCGCGGTTGATGAGATACGGCTTGCGGCGAAGTACAAAGAGCAGCCACCAGTAGTAGAGGAACAGTCGGAGGATCCCTTCAAGAGGCAGCGGCAGGTGTTCGTGGAGGGCACGGGACACCTGGACAGAGCCCGAGGGACGGGCTGTGGAATCTGTTGGTCGCATACAGAGACGTATTGGAGTACCCAAAGGTGGCGTGCGTCAAGTACGAGGCGCGTTTCGAGGCAAGCGGCAAACCGTACAAAGCGAGGTTGAGACATCTCGAGCCTGAGACTGCGGGTCGAGTTGCAGAAGCGAGTGGAGAAGCAGTTGGAGCTCGGAGTCATCCGTCTTCGAAAAGCGAGTGGGCCGCCGCGCCGCACTTCGTGAAGAAGACGGGCGAGTGGAGGTGCGTTTTGGATTACCGGAGGGTGAACCAAAGCATGACTGCCGACTCGTATCCGCTGCCCCGAATATGGGACCACTTAAGGGCCGCAGCAGGCCGTCACCGCTTCACGACTCTCGATATGAACTCGGGATTCTAGAATGTGCCGATAGCGGAGGAGAGCAAGCACCTCACCGCGTTCACCACGCCGTTTGAGCTGTTCGAGTTTAATGTTATTCCCTTCGGGATTAAGAACTCACCGGCGGAGTTCCAGCGCGCGATGGACATGGTGTTTGAGAAGGTGTTGGACCTTCGCACTCTGTGTTACATTGATGATATCATCATCGCGACGGACACGGTGCTGGAAATGATGCAGCGGTTGGAGAAGGTCTTGCGACGGTGCAGAGGCTTCTACCTCAGGCTAGATAAGAGCGAGTGGCTCAAGCCCGAAGTAAAGCACCTCGGTCACAAGATTGGGCGG